AAGAAATATAAGAAACCATTTAAAGCTGTTTTTGTGTTTTTGGTTAAAAATTTACATAAAAAAGTTGTCATTTAAAGTCAGAAAAGTCTTCAAAGACCTTTAACCTTTTCTACTAGCCACCTTTCAGTAATCAATAAAGCTTAAATAAAACATAAAACAGCTTTCACAATGTTAATTAACCCCGTTTTTTGAGTTCCATATTTATAATTCAAGAATTTAATTATAAACCAAAACGTTGTGGGTAGACCACTTATAGTTATTCGCGCTTTTAGCTCATCAGGTATTCGGTTTCAATCAGGTGTGTAATTAGGTAATTAGCTAAATATAACGTGACCGCAGTGCCAGCCATCCTTTGACCCAACTCAGGCTATAAATCCCACACACAGCTGTCAGAAACAAATCGCTGTTCAGCTCGGGGTCTCGGGGTCAAGTTCAAAACATAAATAAAAACCACGTGCAGACAAGCTGACATACCTAATCGGACACGGGTGAACCTCAGCCGAAGACCAGGTGACATTTCAAGGCATTGACAGGTTGTTTGTTTCGAGAAAAGAGACCCTTAATAAAAATCTAATCAAGCAAATTGTAGGCACTAACCCAAGGGTTTTCCCTGGAAAATGTGCTTATAACCAATTCAAATTGATTCTCTTTAAGTCATTGATTTTGAAATGAAGCCAAGTAAATAATGAACTGACCATTCATCTCGACATAATCTAAGCCTAAAAGCCTCTGTCAATGAATTAATTTTGTAATTTCATAGCCAGCTTTCTTGGGTGCCAGTGGTATTGCCAACTTCTTGAATAATGAAGCATAAGTGTGGAGTAAACTCATTAGCACTGACAAGTAAGCTTATTAATTGAGAAATCCCCAGTACTTTTTGGTTCGTTAGAACAACAGTCCGAACTCAGCAGGCATAACTAAGAACAAGGCTTAGTCAAAAGCCGATCAGAAAGCATTCAATTTGCACATCTCTTAAGCTCTAAATCACATAACTCAGGCATAAAGTACACTGGCAAATGAGTTTGTGATTATTGCTTATTTGTTTTAAGGAAATATTTCAGAAAAATGATTTTTTGTTTGATTTTTTCAGTTTTTAGTGGCTAAAAAAGCTAGTGGCTAAATATAAAATATTAAAAAAAATCCTTAATTCAGTTAACTCTTAATTAAAGGCTAAGCAACACTAAGCTTCACCCACTAAATATCTAAAATAAACACCGGACACAAATAGCATGCCTCCAGTTATGGTTAACTTCCGTTTATTACGCATACGCCACCGAGGCTAGTGGCTTCTTGACATAAACAACAAAGATCACGAACTACAGAAATGTTAGCTTGATGGAAACCCAACCAAAATTCACTGGAAATGTAGTTGCTGTGGGAAAATGGCAAAGTACCATACAGCTGAACAATTTCCCACCAATTCGTTAGTCCAAAGTTCAAAACGGGCGAAAACTGTTGCATACATTCGTGCATATACTCAACTGGCTTGCGAAACGGAAAACTGGCAAATAACAATGGAACTTTTTCTCTTCTTCTTCCTTACCCTCACCGAAGAACTCATGGCATTTATTTTCAGAGCTGCTGTTGAATTGTTAACGAATGAGTCAGCATTGGCCAAACTACAGAGCTATAATTTTGGCCAAATAATGGGGAAATGGTTCAGCAGTTCGAAGGCCGCCGCCGCCAGCGTTAGCGGTGAAAATAATGAAAACGAAAGAGTAATAACCTTTGGGGGTTAATCGGTGGACATGGAATCCATGGACGATTAATTAAGAAGGCTGCCAGGCAGTATATCATGCCCAAAACCCTTTCATTTAGCTTTAAGCTCATCATATTTGGCCAACAAATAGCAGCGAGTTTGCCATGTAAAAAGTCAATTATAATGTGTACATATTTACGCCATAACTTCCCTACGCTCAGTTGACTTACGAAGAAAAGTGTAATTGACAGTAAGATGACGGGAGAAGGTCGGTTAATTAATTTTCTAGAATCAAATGAAATTAAGATCTTGGCCTAATTAATTCATCACCATGCCGTCTCACATTCGGGCATCTCCGAATGACAAATTAATTCCGAAAACTCTTATTTCATTCTCGCTGTCGACTCAAGTGAGACAAAATCATTTTCATGCTCAGTTAAATGGATTTGTTTTTTATGCTAAATGTCATTGAACTGGTCGGGAATATATATATATATACATTCAACCTCTTGTCTAGATATTTACTAAAGAATTTTCACTTCAGAAAGTTGTCCTCTGAAAGTTTTAGCTACTTTTTACCTGTAAGCTATGCTCGCTCTTTTTCTCTTTCTGAAAGTTTTTCCTTTATGCCGAACACGCCTTAAGTTACGACTTACTGCAGATGTCAGCTTGAAGTTTGTGCTCTTGTTCAACTTTTTGGTGAACTTGTCCTTCCAAATGCGTTTCTGGCAAAATTTAAAATGAATTCTTCCAAGAAACTGATTTGTTGACAGGTTGGGAATAGTGGAAAAAATATTAATATTTATTATATAAAACTGCTTTAAAAAGGAGAAAAAGTCATGTCTGTATACAAAATATCTTTACTCCTTCCCATTACAAAGACAAGCCTTAAAATTCCCACTTAAAAAACACAAAAATTCCTAGAAAAAAAACTTAAGCCAAAAACTATTCACTTTTTTCCGACTTATTTACCCCCACCCCACCAATCAACTTCTTTCCAATAATTTTCTATGAATTCCTAAGCTCTTCCGTAATTTGAGGAATTCCAGACAGCTTCCCTGAATACTTGGAAAACAGCTTTGATTTGCAGATGTCTGCCACTTGACGCATTTTAATTACGCATACGCCCCGTACGCCAGCCAACCACCGTACATTTCAATTGCAAAGGAATTCCGTAGGGGGAAAAAAACGAAGGACAAACGACCAAGCATAATCCACTCGATAATGGAATGCTGGTAATTCGAATTAAATTTATTTATTAATGTTCTCCCTGGCGTCCCCAAAAACGCAGAGAAAGTAAACAGAAAACCGAGCGGAGCGAGAAAAATAATAATAATTTAAACATACTATGTAAATTTGCCATGTGGCAAGGATGGGGATTTCAAATAAAGCTCAACCAGTGGCAGATATAAGAGTTTGGCAGCACGTGACGGTATTACCAAAGGCTCTGGACCCAAAAGCACTCGAAAGCCCCAACAGACGGACAAACACAAATATAAATCAATGTTGGCTTCTGGCAAAGCACTTGGGGTGGCACACAAATACACATGCAACTGCCAACAAAAACCCAAAAGGAAAAGTTAAAATTTATTTGAAAAGCTACTATTGTACTCCTGTACTTGGCTCACCTTTCACCTGTGTTCGACCCCCAAAAAAAAAAAGGAATCTGTTTCTAACTCCGCACAAATTAGGCACAAGAGAACAGAAATTGACCCGAAATCAAATACAAGTCAACATAAATTCAATTGCGAGCATTTTTCGGCTCAAGGTCCTCGAGTTGCTAGGCAGATAAACTACCCAGCATGAGTTCAGTTTCATTTGCCTCGTCGAAGCCTCACAAGTTTGCCAAAGAGTGTAATCAATATGAGACCGAAAAAGGATAGGAAATGCCACTTTCTTGCCAATGAAGTATATTAAAAGGAAATCAGTGGAAGAAAAGGTGGGTTACCCTTTCGATTGGTTTGGTTATGCCAACTGAGTTATAAAGGAACTTAAAGTCGGTTTTCAATAGGCTTTATGCTTGACTGCTAAAGATTTTCATGTTTTCTAAAGGTTCAACTTTAAGAGCAGCCTTCGATAAATTCTGCGAAGACATTTCATTGGAATTTATTGTGTTTTGTTAGCCCATAATTGAATATAAAAGCTTAAGCAGGAAGAGATGCTTGCTTTTTATATACTTTTGGTATTAACACTTTCTTAAATATATAGTTTAAAAAGAAACCTAAAAGCTGGCTTACTAAATCTATTTTTAAGGTGTTTTTATTAACTTAACTTTCCTTTTCCCATCTTAAGAGTCAATTTTATATAAAACTAACTTAAAGAACATTCTAATAATGGGTATATATCTGCACTCAGAATGTTTACCGTATCCCAAGTAGTTGCTTGAAAGCAAATATTTGAGAGGCTTCCTGTTTGTTGTTGCTGTCGTAGCAGCATAACGTATACGCAGTGTTGCACGCGCAACGTTAAGCTCATTTACATCAGCGCAGCGTTTTCCCAACGACATCGTATCGCATCGATAATATTATGTATATTCCACTGGTGTATATTGCACGGATGGTTACTCCCATTCGATTATCGGTTGGTGTGCCACGACCCAAAGGACCGCAACATCATCTTTCAACACAGTTTATGTGGCAACCCCCGGCTACTAAGTGTTCAAACAATTGAAGCCAACAACATGAATATCTGTATATATATTTTTCAGCCACGTTTTTGGGTCTTCTGCATAATTCAGACAGATTGAATTTGCGCGAGAGGGCGGGTCTGGTGGAAAACTTTCAATACATCGCAAACCATCGCATTGGAAAATGTAACGCTTTTGTTGTCACTTTAATGCCCAATTATTGGTAGAGGGATGAGAGAAGCCAATGTTGACAAACAGACAGCTAGCTGTGCACTGAGAGGAATACTTTTGGAATGTAAGGAAAAAAGTATTTAAAGAAATCAGAAAGAAATTACAAAAAAATTTATATAAAAAGCAGGAAAAACTCGTCGTATTTAAACCATAAAAGTTATCTTAATTCTTCTTTTCTAGACAGAAACCATTCTGCCAATACTTTTCTCGTTTCGCCCAGTGCTCTCTCTCATGACAAGGAGAAAAAGCGTAGCATAAAACGTTCGTTTTACCAAGTTTTCCCCCATCAACTGATGCCCTCTGCACTCAAAGCCATCACAATCATTGCATCAAATTTGCACAGAGAGGGTGTGGGAAGAACGATTGTCAATGCTTTTAGCCAAATGAACTCATGTCGTACATAGCCAAGTTAAACATATAAAATTGATTGATCAAGAATGTATGTTGAATTTTAATTCAATGTTCAGACTTTATTTGAAGCACCTTTTTAATAGAGATCCACATTGCAGTGCTGGCACCGTCCGTTGACAATGGTATTGCCACCTCTTCGGTATATGGTGCCACCACCACTACCTCCCCTTCCATCACTTCCTCGGGAAATCACCACATTACCATTGCTATTTGGCGAAGAGAAACTGCGGTACTCCTGGCCATCCAGATAGACGGGTTCACCATTTGGATTGGGACCTAGTCGAGTGCATAATTAGGCATTATTTTCGATGATTTCTGAAGCAGCCAGCAGGTGGCTATTGAAACAAACTTACAAGTTAGGCAGACACCGTTTACCACCACTGTACTTGGACGAGCTGAAAGTGATTAGCAGAGTATCTTTCAATTAGCGTCAGTAGGAATCCCGTTCAGCAGCTTACCGTCAATCAGCGTCGGAATCAAAGCCACCAACGGGAGCAGCACACACGTCAGGTACTTCATATTAAAGCCGATAGATGACTATAACCCGCTCTCACGCTGCTTATATAGGTCCAGGTACTTAAATACGATCTGAATCAAAATCAATTTGCATAAGTCTGAATGTTAACTGTAGTGCGCTGCTATTTGATTTGTTTTAATTTATATACGAGTATATAATATTCACACGAAAAATTTCCCCCAAGCGCTATCAAATTGTATTCCCTCTTGGGATTTTCCACTTATGGTTCTGATAAAGTTCGACGTAATTGATTTCCTTGAACTTCTGCCAGCGAAATTTATGACAGTCACGCCCAAAAAACGCAGTTCACTAACAACATTCTAAACATGAATGGCAAGCGTTTCCAGAGAATCACACCCCCATCAACATTTATTAAAAAAACAGGTTTTCAGTCCCCCGAAAGTCGTGACTCGTGAGCCAAACGTATTGACACTTAAAAAGTGGGTTTATACGAAAAGTTAGAAATTAATTGCCGAATAATAAGCATAATTTATTATGTCAAATTTGTAATTATGGGACATAAAGTGCATTTAAGTATAAAGTATCAAGATAAAGTGAAAATTTCTTGATTCTCAAAAGGAAGAAAAATAATATTTTCTATTACAAGTTGGCTTATCCTTAAGTCAACTTTAAAATATCCAAAAATTGGCATTAAAAAACTGTTTTTTCACATTACATACTTTTATATTAAAACCCAATCAAAAAGTAGGGTATCTACAAATCACCCTGCCTAACCCCTGCACTTCCAATTGTTTTTGAAAAAGTATCTCTGGGCAATTCCCTGTTGAGATTAATACTTACGTAGCGGTTTGCTTATACTGCGAAAGTTCTTTTTGCACCGATAAGGTCTGTTTGGATTGAGAATCAGAAAACAGAAATCGAAATCAGTGAGTGCATCGTATATAAGCTGATGCTGTGGATCGTACCTGGTCCAGACCAGTTTGACGATTTGATAGACCAACACAATGCGAAACCTGACGGCATTGGCAATTCTCGCTGTTTCAGCTCTGGCCATCACAGAGGCGGCTGTTTACATTGGCGGAGGTTGTTACGATTGTAAGTAAATTTAACTTGTCATTAGGATACGGTATATATTTTACGAATAAGCACAAAGATAGAACAAATCAAAAAAGAGCTTTAATTTGACATTTTCCCAGTGATTAAAATGTGGTTTTATGATAGTGAAACATAAGTTCCGTTTGTAATTTAAAGAAAAATCCAAAAGTAAGTGATTACTAACCTTAGTTACTATAGTTACGTTCCCAGAAAGTACACGTAAAAGGTGTAACATCGTTCGCGCTATTGAGTAACCGCAAACGAACTCATTCAAATGTCACTTTTAGGTAATCCGCCCGGAGGCCAGGGACCCGGTGTCTACACAGGTGTCAACGGAGGACGTGGAGGTGGTGGTGGCGGAGGAAACTATTACAGCAACGGCGGAGGCGGAAGAGGCGGTGGAGGAGGTGGTCGGCCAGTTTATTCAGGCAACTTTGGACCTGGCTATAGTAATGGCGGAGGTGGAGGTGGCGGTGGAGGAGGCTATGGTGGCTACAGAGGCGGTGGCGGTTACGATGATGGCGGTATAACGCAGATTATAAGGGCCTGAGAATATAATCTGAGGCTTTGCTAACGCTAAACCCCGCAAATGAGCAAACGCCGGCTGATTTTTAGATTGTATATAGAATAAAAAAATAACAAAATGATAAGGCGCGTGTTTATTACAAGGAATGTACAAAATTACAAACTAGAAAATATTTTATAACAAATAATTGTGTTTAGCTGTAGGGGAAAAACTAACTTTTGCAGTGTAAACAGAAAATATGAAGTTGTATTTCGTAATTTTAACTCATATTCCATCGTATAAGTCCTTTCAATTGTTAATTAACCTCATTAATAACGCTTAAATATGGATAATACAATTTTATTAACGCCTTGTTTAACATTTCCAAAAAGACGGAAAATCGTTTAATTTAACTCAATAAAAAGGCCTTTTCGTTGACGTTGTGTTGCTCTCCGCTAGTTAATTTTATAATAAGCCGCTTTAGGGTTTAAAAGTTGTAAAAATGGCTTTAAATTTAAAGTTAAATAATGGTATTTTGATTACACATTTCCTTAAAACTAAAATCCCAGCACAAAAGCAAGGAAAAATCCTTTTTTTGGGATCTGAAAAGAGTTTTACTTTCACCGGAAAATTCCAGTAAAATTCCAACATCCCCCTGTCGATTCACAAATTTCCCATACTCATCTTTGGCTTTTGCAAAATCCCAGAAAAAATTCACTTTCATCTCTTTATGGCCTGCAAATTGTTGCTGGATTTCTGAAGAGTCTTTGGAATAACAAACATTTTCATGGCAGGATCGAAATTTGAATGACCGAAAGTCATAAATTGATGGAGGCCCTAAGGTTTTTGAGCTAGCTTTTCCATTTCCACTTGCATATCAGTCAATGCTCAAAATGATTTGTGTGAATTTTACCCATGGGAATGCCTCTGTTTTCTCCAAATTTATAGCCATAAACTCTTCATATTGCAATCAGGCTTACATTTCAAAATTTATGTGGAAATCAACATGAATATGAATGAAAATAATACGAGCTTTGTGATTAAATGCTAGTCAAAAGAAGGGAAAGCTAAAACCCATTTTCATATAATTAGTAGTCAGTGCAAATACCTTTACGTTTTGCACTTTGAATTACAAATTTAAATTGCATTTGCTGCTGGATGGCTGGCCGGCTGGCCATAAATTATTCGTTAAAGCCAGATGGAAAAGTGGCAAAGTAACTTAATACAAACTATATGGAAAACGCCTGTAATTTTGTGGTCGAAACTGAGACCAGCAAATGGAAATAATTGATAAGCTTTTCAAAGTATCAGCCCTATACTTATCAGTCTTAATTACACGACGCGCCCTTGTTAAATATGCAGCGCATCGAATTTCCCAAAAAGAAAACCAACTTTTAGGGCAGAAGAACCGCTCGCCACTTAATTGAATCAATTACAAGTTCGATTTTTGTTCGTTCAAGGATTTTGGCGAGCTAAGCTGAACTTAACGACCCGGAATCGAATTTAGGTTCATTATTAAAGTGTAATTATGGGTATTAAAGTATGAATAATCGATTGTCTTTCAGTCTTTCTATATGCAAGTCTCTTTCTGCTTCTGTATTGAAGAGTAAAATATATTTTTATCTAGCTTTCGTTTTAATTAAAAATGCATTTTACTGCTAACCTTAGCATTGATTTCTTTTTGCTGAAAAGTGCACTTGTGTTGACTATTTTTAATTAAGCCTTGACCTTGCTGCTGCAAATTTCTAAGTAAACTTCTGGAACTAAAAAAAGACATTTCATTGAGTTGGCAAAAATATATAAAAATTTAATTTTAGCCTGGAAAATAATACTTTCCTTTTAGTGGGAAATAAAATCCATCAAACGAAAAATAAATAAATATTTTAATACTATTTAAGTCTTACCAATAGGTAATCTTTTTTCCTGTTAAATATCTTTACTTATAGGAATTATTTGTATTTTATTGCTATTTTGAAATATTTCAAAATTTAATCCTAAAGATTAAAGATTAAAATACAAAAATTCTTTAATTTGTTATGACAAAAACCCATTTAAAGCCCTTCTAATATTTACTATTTTCCATTTTATTTAAGCTTCTTTTTCCTAATAAAAGCCCTGAGGGGAAAATATTTCATATGCAAATCAGAATAACCCCTCCCTTCTAACGAAATACCAGAAAATGCATTTGATTTGTTTTTGTCAAATTCCTTGGACTGGTCTGCAAAAGACATTCCGAAGGTTGGCAACAATTTATTTGTTTTCTGACCCAGCAGTTGATAAATCAAATTAAAGAAACTTTTAAGCAAAACCTTGCCAAAAGGTGAAAATTAAAATAAACTTTATGAAAAATTCCCTTTTCCGACTAATATAAAATAGTTCTTCTTTCTTTACTATATCACACTTTTCAATTACTCGCTTACAACGAAACACCACAAGTCAGGTGCAAAATGCAGTACAGCAATTGAGATTCCCAGTGACGTCGGGTAGGTGGGACAGGTAATGGTAGTTTGTGTGTTGGCTATGGCAGAGCCATTAGCGTTCAATTTCCATGCTGGAAGGTAAAAACTAAGCGAGCTGGCAAAATTAACTTGGACCAGCCACTAGCTTCCCCTTTTTTCCAAAGCGAACACGAGCGCAGGCTCTTAAACCTGCGAACTTTATGTTTCATATTGCAAAGTTGGCTGGGAAAAACTGTGCAACTCAGCTGGCCAAAAATTAAAATTGTTTTCAAGTAACGCTCTATATTTTTTGTTAGCAACTTTGATAGATAAGAGTTCTAGTTACGTTTTGCTTTTTATTTGGGTGTTTTTTCTTGCTTTTGATAAAGTAAATTAAATAATTGATGAATGGCTTTTTACATTTAAAGAGTAAATAAAAGTTCTACGGAAAGGAAGTTCATTTTGCCTCCTTTCATTAAACAAATTTTTGGCCTCTTTAAAACAGTTTTCACTTATTTCCCATCATGTATCTCGTACTTATACCCGTACATCCTCTTCAGATTGCAAAGAAACTTTTCACACAACTAATCTGAAATGTCAACAGTCAAGCTGTTAAGACAAGTTGCCAAAAAAAAGTACTCGTATGTAAAGAATAATCAAGTAAGCAAAGTAAAAACAATACAGAGAGCCAACTTCTTCCTTTTAAATGCATTTAAACAAGAAAAGCCAAAAGGAAAAACCATAATGTATTCCATTACTGCAATCAAAATCAATGACAAAGCAAAGTTTCTGCTCAATATTCATGCCATTTTCAACGAAAAACAACGAAAAAAGCAATAAAGATTGTGGTGTAATTTACAGGTTGAACTTAAAGTTTTCCGGTGAATTCATTTTTCCTCCCCAGCAGGTGTTAGTTTCGATATTGAAATTCAAATATTCCACCTCCTTTGTAATATTGTGTCTGCGGTTTCACTGGAACTTTCTTATTGTCCTTCCCACCTGCGGTTAGTTTCGTCTGCCGGTTAAAATAGATTTCCCAGTGAAGAGAGAAAACCAAAGGGGGCTTCAAGCGTTCCTTTCGATAACCTTTCAGAGTGAAAACCACAAGCCAAGTACAACGTGAATATTCATTTATTTGAAATATGCATTTAAGTTAGCTTAAAATACGAATTAAACGAAAAAAAAACCAGTGCCGCTAACCGACCCAGTGACCCGCCCAGGACATCCTTGCCCTCCCCTCCCCCCACATGGAAATAAAAACGACACTGGAAAATTCACAGACACGTAGATAGAGACTTTTATCTTCTTCATATCTATGGGTGATGGTCTCTCTAAGGGGATCTACAAAATGCTTGGCATTCTCGTTGGGACAACTACAGAAACCCAAAAACAAAAATAAAAACAAAAATCGAAATGAACCCCAAATTCGGACCAGCAGCCACAACCGCAGCCTCTCATCTCATCACATCTCAGTACCAAACTCTATATATGTATGTTTTCGGCCGCATTTCGATTTACGGCCAAATCCGCACTACCAGCAGCATCAGCAGCAACGTCATCGTCATCCTATACCCCATCCAATGCCATTTGGCCAAACCAGCGGCAGCGTCGTGGGCGCAGATGTTCTGGAGGACAGCACAATTCCTGAAGTGCTTCTCGTCCGACAGCATTTTGGCCGTCTCGCGGGCAAACTCCGCCGAGTTCTTATAGCACTTGTACCGTGCACTATTGTAGATGCAATTCTCGTACGCATACCGGGCACTGCAAAAAAGGACCAAAAACTTGATTGATATCGATTCCCAGGCAAACTGTCATTCGCCAGTCGCCATTTGCCAGCGGTTGGGGGAAAATTTAATTGCAGTTAGGGTCATAGGTAAAGGTTGGCAATCGAAAAGGGAAACTAGCTGTTTTCTAGAGAAACTGTACAATGGGAGGGAGGAAAAGGGTGATTGGGTTTTTAGAAAACTTTAACTAAAGGTGGAAAGATTTGTTTAAAAATCCAAGAAATATATATTTTTATCTAACTTAAAACTTAACTTAAAACTCAACGTAAGTTTGTTACTTTTTTAAAGCCCTAAAAGTATGCAACAGTTTAACTAAAAAGTGTTTTTTGAACTTCGAAAACAAAAATATATTTTACAGTAAAGAGACAGAGATATTACGTTCTCGCTTAATATATGATATTTATAAATCTTAAACATAATAAAAAGTATTGAAAAAAAACGTAAAGACACTTCATTTTACGCCTTTAAGTACACAATTTTTAGTAAAAAAAAACCTTTTTAAAATTATATTTTAAATGGAAAAACGTTATTACTAAATTAAATTTAATAGTTATTAAAGTGTAGAAATTAAATTATTTCTTTCTCTTACAGAAATAATTTATGATAATAACCCGATTGATATCCAACAAATATTTACTCGGCGAAATTAAAATTTCAGACAGTTGGGCGTTGAAGGAAAGCCAGGCACGGGCTTTATGTATATGCAATGAAAGGAAAATATTTAGTGAGGCCAACATACCAGCAGAACTCGAGGAACTTTTCGCTGGCGTTGCGCCGCTCATCGTGCACCTCTTCACTGAGGATGCCCTCGAACTCGGCCGTGCAGGTGACCCAATCCAGTTGGATATATGCAAAGCAGTCCTTGTGCCGCAGGTAGTCTGCAAAGAGCCAAAGGAGCACAGAGATTGCCTCAAATTCATGTATAAATAATGCTTTTGCCGCTGCTTTTACTTTTTGTGCACTTTAAAACCTGTCAAGTTTATCTGGAAGGTCCTTTGTTTTCTTGGGGGCTTTTCTTCTTAATCTGGGAGTGTGCTTTTGTGTGTGAGTTTTCATGGCGTGTGTTTATGTTCTCGACACCTCAACGCCCTTGGGGCATTCTCATGTTTATGCATGTGTCAAGTTTAGCAAATTGATTTGGTAATCAACAACAACAACAACAACCTTTTTAGGTTTTCATCAAAAAACTTACCACGCTGAAAGTCGGCATCACCGCAGAATTTGTAGAAAAACCTTCGTGCCCCTTCAACATTGTTCTTGAACGTGCCCAGCTTTCGATCGTCCAGGCAACGCTTCGAGTAAGTATCGAAGCACCTCATGCCGCGGTTGAATATGCTGCAATATGTAATTCGATTTCAGCCAGGGACAATTGAGTGAGGTCTAATTGGAGTGCCACTCATGTTGCCTCTTCGATGACACCGTCAATGTATGTAGAAAATAAAATGTCTCGTCTGTCTTGAATTTATACTCGGTCTTTAATATTTACAGTGCTGTTTTCCTGAATTGAGTTAGCTAATGAAATTGAATGAAGCTTTTTAAGTTCATTTAGTTTGGTTTTCCATAAAGCGGTTATAGGTTTATTCTTATTATTTTTACAAATTAAATTTGTTAATGAATGACAGACAGAATTTTGTGATACTTTTTACGATTTTCTATGAATATTATAATATTTATATAAATGCATTTTTGAAAATTAGTTTTGCAAATTAATTACAGATCAAATGGCTTAATATGGCAATAAAATTAAGGCTTAAGGAATTTCTTTGGTTTATTAAAACTGCATTTAAAAAACTCAAAACTAAAATGGTAATAAATATTAAATTGACAAAAACCAGGTGTAGTCACTTTAAAAGACGACAAAACCGATTTCTAATTTACAAAGAAATATTTGACAAATTTTGTACTTCTATTTTGATACCTTTGAAAGCTTCGTCAAATCATAAACTCATCATTCATACAAATTACATTACCTAGAATTACACTTCACCTAAAAAGTGTTACGTAAATACTCAAATTAGTCTGCATTTCATATTAGTCCTTAATTCGTTTCAACAGCAACTAAGTAATCAACTTACTCACTTCACTTTCGGTACAAAATTTAAACAAAAAGCTTTATTAAATCATTCCGTAATATTGAAAAAGCGAAAACAATTACTTGTTTTAGTAATTAATTGATGTTTATTCATCAGCATATATGATTTAATAGGCCCATTTTGATTACACTAGCAATTGTTAAGAGTGAGCGTTCAATTAGTGAATTAATGGCCAAACTAATGCCGACTATTGGCTTATTTATTTGCCATTTCAAGACGAAATAATTAATTATCAAGGTCTGTAAACCCCGAAACAGCTGTAAATGATTCCTTGCGGTTGGGATATGAAAAAGTACTCATTCTATAAACAAATTTTCACTCTAATTAATTTCTAATAGTTATTTATTGTTGTTCTGACTTTTGTGAAAATCTTTTGTCACCCCAAAAACTAATACACAAGCACTTAACTTGGCGCCCTGAAGAGGCCTATTTAAGCCTAACAAAAAGTCTGTAATTTATTTTTGGCACTTGGAAACTGGAATAATTAATCATCTCAGTGAAGTGAGCCGCAGACAAGGAGAGGGGTCTGGTCCTTAATGGACCCAACTCAAGTCCCCTGTCGAAGCGAAACACGTCCCTGAATAACTTTTTGCGTCCTGCGGCAACATTGAAGAAATATGAATAAATCGCTTGCCATAAGCGGCTTCAGCTGAGGCAATCAATAATGTAAAAACCCCATTTTTGTTTTTTTTTTCTTTTCTTATTTTTGCACTCAATAGTCTCATATTTGCAACATATTCCTACTTGCACTTGGCGGTGATCTCCTTTTTGCTGATAACGATTTTTGTGTTCTGCAGAAATTCCATTAGATGCGGCGGCAGATCCTTGAAGCACTCATCCACCATTTTCTGCGTGCTGCCGCATTCTTCGCCAGCCATTGTTACATTTCCCTCGTTCTGGCCCAAAACCATAACGACCAAACCGAACTGGGCGATAAAGTAAAATAAAATCACACTGCACAGTGAACTTCTCAGGCACATCCTCGGAGGACACTTGTTGCCACACTCAAATCGACAGATAGGATATTAATTGACCAGATTTTCTTCGGTTTTCGCTGGCTAAACCAACCGCACGAACGCTAACAAACGTACTGAAATGCCAAACCGCAGGCAGCTTCTATAAAAAGGACTTTCAGTTTCAGCATCTCTGTTAAGCCACTGTTAATGGCATGTAAATGCGGCGCATGCGTGTTATTGCCACCAGCACGTGCTTCGTCCTTTGTTTACAATACAAAGACTGCCGACTTACTAACAGGTAGACAGTGGCATTGCCGCAGGAGATGGGGGTTTGGCATAAATTAGCGTCCACTTCAGCGTGGACATGAAGGTGTTGATGGAGGCTCGCTTCGGGATGGGCTTAAGTGATTGATTGTCCTGCATCATTGCTCCAGGTGTCGTATGCCGGTTTTTCCAGCATTCCAGTTTGGTTTCAAGTTAATTAAGTCACCAATGGCAGAGATTCCTCTGGGTGCTGTATTTCACAATTGAAATGCGAAATACCTTTGCCGGGTTTCCCATTGTTTGGACTTTGCCTTGAGTCCAGTCATGAAACCCGATATGGTTTTCCTTGGCCATGCTCACACTTTGTTTTTTAACTATTAAATTTCTGGTTTTTCGGCCAGCTTGCTTTTGCATTTGTCTTAATTAAAAGATATAAGCTTTAACTGGGAAAAATACTTTTCTTTTTACAACAAATATTTGCTTTTGTTTTTCCTTATATTAGCCTGAAGCTCATAAAGGGTCCATCAGAGAGTGTGATTTAAATGAAATCCTTTTTTAATATTCAGAATTCATCTTGCAGCTGTGCAAATATTTGCGTTCTTTGTGGAATGAACGAAAATGATAACTTTGAGTAATGACGAATCAGTCAGTGTCAACACAGAGAAACTCAGGGACAACGCGCAACAGGCGATTAAAGAGAAAACTTTCATTGGTAATTATTCAGAAAGGCAAAAACTTTCAAATGGAAAGCAATTAATGCGAATGCAATCATATCGATTCACGGTATCTACTCGATAAAATCACGTTCATGCAAAAAGGCCAATGTTTTCAGTGCCGCAAAATAAAACTAAAGCCCAGTTAAGACCCGTGAAAGAAAAGACCCCAGAAAGACCAGCAATAAAATCGATTTAAACTTATTTTTTTTATAAACATTTATTTATGCAAAAAGTTATACATAATCGTACATACATACACTCGTACATATGCCATTAATTACATGTGCGTATTTGATATATTTTATTAGGTTTTGAACATATGGATTATCTCACAATAAATCAGTGATTCTCTTCATTTATGCAGTTAAAATTTTAATGCTGGCATTGGATGATGAATATATAATGTTTCAGGTGCGTTATTAAAGGTGCACAGCATTCGATTAATGTTATGAGAATATAGCTAAAGGTTTATCCTTTCTTTCTGGTTACACAATCATCGAGAGAATTACATGTCCTTTTGTGTTAAAATCAATTCAGAACTAATCATAAGCAAGGTTTGCCACGATTGCACGATTGCCGTTTGTTATATATATTATAAATAAGAATTATACATTATGATTATGTTTATTAAATATATATATTATAAGGTTAGATCAACTGCCAGTACGGTTGAACTTCGTTTTTTGTTTCTGAGTATAAGTCTCACATTTTGCAGAATAATTTCAACAGTGTTTTCTCTATACTTTCTGATCTTTTCTTTTCTTTTTTTTTTTTTTGTATTAATATTTTATTTTTAAAGATTATTTTGATTGGTGCCGATTACACAATTTGTTTAAGGCACATATTAATAACATTTCTTCTTTTTTGCAACAAAAATTGTTTAAAATTCTTTAATTCAAAATAAAAGTTTGCAAGCAGCGGCTGCTTTGTACCATCAATTAAATGCAATTCACTTTCGCTCTCTCTCTACTTTTTGTTCTTTGCTAATCAACGTTCTGCATTTATTTTATATCTCTCATTTACAGTTTTAAAAAAATAATAGTTAAATATTTTCAGTTTTAACAAGTTTTATTTATTTCAAATTAAAGAATTCTACTTTATCGCTTTCAAGAACATTTATTCGTTTAAAAAAGTAAGTTTGTTGTTTTTTTTTTTGTTTATTTCTGCATATAATACATAATTAATTAGCTTTAAAATATTTAAAATAATTTAAGTTTAGCGTTTAATTGTACATTATGAATGCCCGATGCTATCTAGCATCATATTATGTGTTGGTTTCATTAACTAAATATGGCTGTTAAATGTGTTTTGTTTTTTTTTTTTAGCATGATATTGTTTCCCTTTCCGCACCCCACCTACATTTTCACACAATCATTTTGTGGTGGGGTTGCGTAATGGGGAAATATAGAAGATATATAGATATATAACATAATCAAAAAATACTTCATTAACAAGAATTTGCGTCAGTTTAACAAAAAATAATAGAATAGGCTGAAAAGGTGTTAATCTTAAGCCCGATTCTTAAAAGTTTTTTAAAGCAAAAAATATGAGAAAATTTCTAAGATTCATTTTTCCGATTTGAGTTAAAAGTGCAGTTATATTAAAAAAAATTAAAACAGTTTCTTTATGTTGAGTAGAGTTTCTTGGATGAGATTCCGTTAACATGATTTTACTTATTTCCATTAAGGGGGTTTTTTTCTTCTTGGGGGGGGTAATTATATACAGACTTGTATATGCATATTATATAAATATATATAGTAACATATATATATATGTGTTTTTGCATTAAGTATGTTTTTGTTCGTTGAACTTTTAGACTAATAACTAACTTGTATTTTCCTTTAGATTATGTTAATTAAACTAAGTTCTATGTTTGATTCTCTTATCGATTGTTTGCTTAATTGCTTTGCTTTGTTTGCTGGCAAAACGTAACAGTGTTTAATGGCCACAAGATTCAATACATACTGATGTTGCTGCTGTTCTGTTGCTGTCGCTGTGTTGCAAGTGCCGCATCTGCTGGTTGTGTGGCAAAGAGTGTTGAGTGTTGTTTTAGTAGTTGTATGAGTGACAGTTTTTTCTGGCTTTTAGTTATGTTTTTTTTTTTAGATATATCTTTTGTTAGCTTCAGAGATGTGCACAAACACAACACACACTTGGCTCTGCTTAGATGCTGCTGCTGCTGTTGCTACTTTCACTCCGTGCTCTTCTGCGGGCAGGCGATGGTTTCATGGTTTCATGGCGGAAGTGGTAGTGTGTTTTTAAGGATGTTTGTTTGGTTTCCATTGGTTTTTGTTTTTAATTTTGGAAAATTAATATATTTTTTAATATAAATATATTTGGTTGTATTAAACGTTTGTGAGTATATTAGCATGTAAAGAGAGAGAGAGATTATAGAAGTGGAAAGAGAGTTTTGATTAATATTTCAAGGTTAGCTTAGTTAGTTTTCAATGTTTAATATTCCTAGGTTAAGCGAGTTATTAGAGCAAAAAGTTACCACGCATTTAATTAACACTTTCATGATGATCAACATGCAGTATAAAATTTTTTATTTTTAAAATGAGAAAATATTTAGTAACTTTTCGCTGAATGCCAAACCGCCATCAATTAGAGTTGTTAATTCCTATGATGTGGGTCAGCATTTTCTGACTTTAATAAAGACAAACACATACATTTTTATTATCATTAGAGTTTTCATCATTATTTTTCAAAATAAAAATAAATCAAAATCATAATTAGAAAGTGCAAAAATATATTTTTGTGTTGAGACGTTATTTGATGCAACATTTTGTGGTTATTTAAGTTGTTGTTGTTGTTCTCAGTTGAAAATTTACAAGAACATGATTTTTCATCCTTTTTAGATTAATTCATTTTTCTAGTTTTCTTTTGTTTTGTTTTTTGGTTAACTTGGCCTTTGGTTAGTTATAATTAGCAATAGTATTACATCACATATTTTTTTTTTTGGTTTTTGTTTGCTATAAACTAAATGTTTATACCGTTTAATGGTTTTAATATGCTATTTATAAATTTACCACGTAATTATTTAAAGGGGAAAAAAATAAAGTTAACAAAAAAGATCACATCAAATTGCAGGTGCATAAGCTGTCAAGACAGAGTGGGATTTAATAATTACATTATTTTTTGTTTTTAATTTTTACAAAATAAAAATTAAAGTATTATTGTTGAGAAAAAGCGTTATTTACATGGTTTGTTTTGTACATAGAAAAGCTGTTTAAATTTGTTTTTTTAATTTTAAGTTGAAATTAAACTTTCTTTTTAATAAGTAAGTAAGTAATGCACATGGATCCTTGAACTTAATCAATTTAATTTCTCTCTTTTTTAATCACTTTTAAGCAGATGCAATTTCATGATTCGGAGTTTGGAGTTATACAAGTTATGTAATTAACTAACTAGTCTAGAGATCAATTAATCATAGACAGAAGATTCCGCAACCCATAAGCTTAAAGATTAAGAGTGTGGTGAGTACACATATAGATACGTGTATATCGGATATTATATATAGTATATATATATGCATAGGATACATAGATTATATAATGCATATGCCATAGCATTTGTGGTGGTTTCTTGGTAGTAGTAGTTGGTTGGATCTGGTTGACGGTTGCTTTTTGTTGGTGGCTTTTGGGATTAATGATCGAATGGTCGAGGAGTGGGTGGTTGAGTGGTAAGCATAGAGTTATGCCCCAAAAAGGACGTGTGTGTGTATGTGTGTGTGAGGTTTTTATGTATAAATGCGTTTGTGTCTTTTAACTAAAGTTAAGTTTCTCTTAGTCACTAGAGTTGCAAACAAACAAAGTGAAGTGTTTTTTATTATTATTATTTCTGATCAATGAGTTATGTGTGACGACTGAATATCATTTTTTAATCATTTTTTTTGAGGGGTTAAGTTCGGAAAGCGTTAGATTTTTTTTATTTTAGATTTTCATCTTAGGAAAATTCTGAAAGTTCGTGGAACAGATAAAGAATCATAAGACTTGGTAAGGATTTTGTTTTGTTTGTTTTTTGTTGTGTTGATTTTTTTTCAAGGTTTTCTTTTTTTTTTTTTGTTGTTTTTTTTTTCATTTCAACAAAAATCATTGATCTTTATTTCTTTGTGGTACACTTTTCGGTTCAATTGCAACATTTACATTCGAACGCATAATACAAAATAATCATAGATAATCTTAGAAGACTAAACAGGGGACTTAGCCTAGGATACACATGTAAAATTCATAGAGCTCTCTCTCTCTTTTATATAGATTATATATGGCTTATATCCGAGAGTAATACAAATAAAAATCTACTAAAATTTGTTCTTTTTCATTTTTTTTCTTTCTTTTTTTTTTTGAGTGTATGTAAAACATCAAAGGCACAAGTCAACGTGGAAACAAAGGAAAACTAATGTAAAAAATTTGTGTAAAAATATATATACTCTATATATATATATATGTAAAAAATCATAATAATCTTCAGCTAGCTAAGACTGATAGATTTTGCATGTGTCTGTACTTTTTGTGTGTTTTTTATTATCAAAATTTCGTTTTCAAAAAACTCGCAACTCGCAACTTGAAATGAAAGGCAAACTTATATAAGATTTGCATTTGATTTCTTTAAGTAGAAAATAAAACACATAAAGAAAATAATAGTTTGATAAAAATAAATAAAATGAGTAGAAACACAACTAACCTGTGGAGGCGGTGCGCTTGACAATTTCTTTTGCGGAACTCTGATCAGGGGCAGAGCGGCCTGGCCGGGCCAACGTTTCCCAGCCAGGTTTCATCGGATATACAGTTTTGTTTTTTTTATTTTAAAGAAAATTACTTAAAGAGCAGCTTGTTGTTGTTTTTGTTTAAATAAATAGCAAAAATGTTAAAAAATAATTGAACTAAATTGATGGACGCTGCCTGGTGAACATAATCTAAAAGCAGGCCAAAAACACAATCGTTCGTTTTTCTTTTGGAAATTATTGATATTAAAAAAAGAGTGCTTCAGCTGTTACTGTTGATATGAAAAATAAAGGTTACTTTTGGACTTCTTTTGATTTACTGTTAACGAGTATTTACTGTATCTCAATGAAACCCGCCGGCTTGGCTGGCACTCCGACCGTTGCTCGCTGATAGGGATGTTCGCGGTTAGTCGCCAAACGACGCTGCTGCTTAATGGCGCCTACTAAAATATACGATACGATACATGTAGATATATAGGTTTGCATATCATCATCGGTTATAGATTTAAGTATATATATATATATGTGAACATATAATATTTGCTACAAAATACAACTTACTTACTAAATAGATATTGCATTTCATATCCTTACACATCTACCATATATATGCTATATGCTTGCTCAAAAACTGCCTTTGCTGGTTGCTCTGCCAATTTGCCAACTGACGGGGGAATATTATTGACCTGTTTTTTTTTTTATTTATTTAACTTTTACTTTGTAACATCATTTAAATTCTCTGCTTCTTTGGAATGAGTCGTTTTTGTTCTTTATATAGATGTGCTTGTGTATTCGATATATATATTTGATCTGATTTCATGATTTGGCCTGCAAAATAAGTGATTTTCAAGCCACTAAGCCTAAGGTTGTTGTTTCCATTTGAAAATTCTAGAAAATCTATATAATATTTTCCTTTCCTTTAAGCATTTTGTTACTCTCCAGCTTGCTGACTAGTCGTGTGCATACAATAGATGGATTTTCTGTTCTGGGACGGCTGCCCTTGAGCCTCGACTAAACTTAGTTCTAAGTTGAAAGTAATTTTTATTTTTAAGCACCAACTTGATTCAAGGCTCTCCTTTCCACTACGAGATATATATATATAAATATTTTTATGTATATTTAAGAAAAAGCTTTGCAATTCTGTTCAAAAAAATATATATGGTTTTGACGAGAAATGGCACTGGCTGGAAAAATTGAAACGGTTTCTCTTGCTATTCGCGCTCTTTGTTAGGTACATTTGTGCATAAATACTGTCCCCCTAAAACACTCACTAACTACAGATATATAAATATATATAAAAAACATAAACTTAACTAGATTGCACTTAAGACTCGACCCTCATACCATTAAAGAAAACCTAAAATTATAAGGTTTAATATTGAGAAGAGAAAATTATAAAGTTTAGCCCTCTTTAATTTGAATACTCTTGGGTTCCAAAAAAGGAAAAAACCAAAAAAAAACAACAACTTCCTATGCTGTTGTTGTTGTTGTTTTGTTCTCAACTAGAATATACTCATGTCTCGGGTGGAAAAAATATATAAAAAAAAAAGCATAAATCATAAAAGTAAGAATTAAGATTAAAACAAAATTCTCTACAAATTTAAGGGCCTAAAAATCACTTATTTTTGCCAATATTGCATATTGCAGAAATGTATTCCTTTGCATTCTATTAACTAATAAAAAAAACTGCAAATAAAAGCAAATCCATTGTCGAGCAATAATTATTCTTAATTTTCTGTTTTGCTTCCTTTCTTGAGTATTTCTGTTTTCCTGTTTGTTTTGCCGTTTTACTCTTACGTTTTTGCTTGTCTCTAAGTAAATATTTAATTTTAAAAATATATATTTATATACAGTCTATACATTTATATATGTGTGTGTATGTGTGCTTGTATAATTCTGTTCCAGTTTTTCATGTGACTGTAACTATATAAAGTTTAGGCTAAACATTGGGTTTTCCTCAACAATTCGTTTCTGCTTTCTGCTTTTTTCTTGTTGTTGTTTTTTGTTTTTTGTTTTTGTTTTTTCAAGGGAAAAATAATAGAGAGTGAGAAAGAGAAGTTCAAAAGACGGAGCCGGCATGCATATATCGACCAACTGTAAATATTTATGTTTATAACAAATATATATATAAGATAAAATAAACATTTGGATAAAATAAATGAAGGTTTTGGTTTAATTCTGTTAGCTCTGGTTAGGATATTATCTTAATAATCGTGAAATCTTAGACGAAAAGCAAGGTTAAGAAGCGTGACGAAAAAATCTCATTGCATACTTTATGGCACTGAACGTAAATAGTAATTGTGTTAGATTCATGTAAAATACAGGTAGATCAACTGCTATGTAAAATATTCTTGTTCTTGTTTCACAAAACAAAAACCAATTAAATTGGTTAAAATATAAGGCAATCTTTATATTTCAAGAATATTAACACTTTGCTAACTGCAGCGTATCCATAGTATAGCCTGCTATATAACAAAAAAAATAAATGCAAGCTCCTACTAAGCAATGATTAAATGCAAAATCTAAATGTCAATTAACAAAACAAATATAAAAAATAATAAATAAATATGCTCAAAAATAATACTAGATGCTTGAGCTCACTAGAGCTGCTGCTCTGCTGGGCTGTCATAACAAACTCAATCGATTGCACTTGGTTAATGTGTTAAGAGGATAAACAAACCTACCGGGCGTATGCGCAACGTGTAAATTGTATATATCTCTAGTGTATGTTTTTGTGTGTGTTAAATGATGTGTGGCTGCTGCTATATACTATATATTATTATTGCTCGCAATTTAACTAGCAGCTAAAAAAAACCCTCAATTCTCAACATATCTTTCTCCTTAGGCGACTAACTTTTCTGCCTTCTAATTAGGTAATGAATGTGATTCGGCTTAGTGATGTTTGATTTTGTGTGTTGGTGAAGAGAGCATAAATCATAAATCAATATATATATATATGTATAGAAGATGAAACAGGATGAGATATATATATATATATATGTGTTATTTATCTGGCAAACAACCCACCGCTATGATCAGCATATTCCGTGAGCAGAGGATTGCCAGTGAGGGCGGCATAGTTCGCATAATCGTACGGTGCGAAGATCATTCCATGGCCGGTCTGGTCAAAGGCGGCTGTGGGGGCTGCCTGGGCGGACAGTATGCTGGCCGCTGTCGTTGGTACGGTCATTCTGGGATTGAGAATCAATGGTGCGCCCAGCGGGGCGGTGGCAGGGGCACGTATTTGGGCAGCTAGGCCGGGCAGGCCGGTGGGCGTCAATAGGCGGCTATCAGAGGTGGCCATCAGGCGGCGCCACTCCTCATCGCACACTGCGGGATACAGATAAGAAGCAGAGCCAACGCATGAAAAAGCTGGTCGTCGTGTACACATAAATCAAATACAAAAGTAAAAGAAATGTAAATCGAATTTAAAAATCAGTTGGTTTGAACACTCGTTAACTTTTCTAAATTTGCTCAATCGTTAATGGTTGTTAGCAGTAGTCGCGGCGCTCATTTTAGCTGGTAGTTTCGTTCGATTGTTAACTTTTTAGCTGTCTAAGATCGGGAAATTGGTTTAGGTTATTGGTTTTTAGATGGATTAAAAAAGTTATATATTATATAGATAGAGAGAGAGGCTTTCGGTTGACATACCTGCGACAGATTTCGCTGTTGTGTCCCTATAAGTGCCGTTAATAATCGCCAATTCCATAAGTTGACGTTTCTTTAGCTCATCTTCGCCTTCGGCTTGCTGTTAGTACAAGTGTTTGTTTGTTTTTTTGTTTGTTTGTTTGTTTGTTGTTTTTTTGTTTGTTTGTTTGGAGGGTTTTAATGTATTAAACGGAATACATTAAAGCAGATTAGGTTTGTTGGTAGAGAGAATGAGAAATAATATAAGAAAAATTCATTATTAATCATATTTGGTTAACATTCAATTTGGTTTAGCTGAGAAATCATTTAATTTATTATTGATTTAACATAGAAAAAGGAAATGGGGAAAGGCAACACGCTTTGATTTACTTTATGATTTACTTTAAAGCTTCTTTCACGGGCATATTATGAATATTAAAGCTCTTTTTTTCTTTTATTTAAAAAAACTCTCAACAAACACTTACCGGCACGAGCAACTTCTGAACTTCGGCAACGGCCTGGGCCAACTTGACTGTGGCACGGTTCTCGGTGTCCTCGACGGTTATCAGGACATGCAGGTCATCGGACAAATGCTCCCAGTTAGGCTTGCCACGGTTGGCATCCTCCTGGAAAAGTGAAAATAATCAAATTTACAAATTAAAAAGTCTTTTTAACACTTTTAAAGTATTTTTTGAAACAAAATTTCTAGTCTAATTCCATTTATTTTCAAACTTTAAGCATTCAGGCCAAGGAAAGAATTTCCCGAAAAATGTTAATACCAAAAAATTCGAACAAAATTTATTTAGCGTGCTCAATGATTCAATCATTCTACCTTCCTCTGCATCCCCCTTATAACACCACATAAGCTATACAAAAATGTGAAAAATGAAAACGGAAAATCTATATAAAACTGTGTGCGAATGGGCGCAGAACAATTAATAGTGGGCGTGCAACGCGGCACTCAAAAACATTATTGCAATTTTTCATTTCTGCTATTACTTGTGGCCAGCCAGCTGAGTTTTCCTGGCGTACGTGCTTGAAAAATATATATATTAAATACTTTTCCCTATTTCTTCTCCTTCAACTCGCCACAATTTCTAATCAATTAGGATCAAATTGGTTAGAAATTCTTTTCAAGTAGTCCAGTGCTAATTCCATGTCAAATTAACAACTGTCAAGTTGGCAGCCAAAAGTTTTATCACTAATCGAGGACAACCTTTTTGTTGGCCACTTTAGGATGAGTGGCCCAGAGCAAAAAGAGAAAAAAGGAAATCAAGATAGCCTGAGGAAAAGGTATAAATGTAGAGGGAAACACATCATGCACTATGAGTAATTTTTCACCCGATTGTCGTTTCTATTTCGATCTGCAAAATGCAAGTAAACACACACAAAATTTCTATTCTTTCGGCTTTTACTTGTTGTCACAGACAAAAATCTTTCGTCTTGCGGTGAGTCAGACAGACATTTGTGTGTGGGAGGCGAGTCTCTCCCCCCGCCCCCCTCATTCACTTCTTCTACTAAATTATCAAAATATTGCAACAAAATTTGAACATTTTCAAGAGAGAAAAAAACCTCTCCTGTCTGCCTGCCTTTCATTTGGCCCGCCACACATTTATGAATTACAAAAATACATTTAATCGTCGTCTCGAGACATTCGCGTCTCATTTTCCTTTTCTTTACTTTGCATTTGATTTGCTTTTCCCGTCAGGGGAAATTAAATCATCTGAGAATTTTGAGTGACAAGATATAGGTATAGGTATGGGTTCAAAAAATAAATAAGTAAGAGTGTTTTGTGGAGAAAATATGAGGCTCTTAAGGTGCTCTTTAAAATCATTTCTTTACTTAATTAAAATGGTTTCTTTAATGATCATTAATTTTATAGAAAGAATCTACTTACTTTCCACAAAGTATCTTTAAATTAATTTCATTAAATTTATGAATAAAGAATACTAAGTTGCTGCCTAATTACTTTACGGAAATAAGCCCCATGGCAATCATTGCCAGAAATAAAAACCCAAAAACTCAAACCGAGAGGGGCACATTTTTCGCCTTATAATTAAGAATAATTCCCATTTGGCACGGAAACCGACTGTCAACAGAATTTTCATACCCAACCAAACTATATATATCAGATTATATATATATATACATTCGTGGCCACTATTTACGATAATTAAAATTGAAATTGAAGTGCTCGACTAATGGCTGAACATTTTTGGAATGCGAATGCAGCAGCAGTGCAAAACCACAAACTATTTGATATTTAAGAACTTACAAATATAAAATAAAGAACTTTAAACACTCACCTTCTTCTTGTCGCGCATCGAGCCCTTGCCTCGGACCATGATCTTGCAACCAGTCTCCTGCTCCAATTGCTTGGCGGTCATGCCGCGGGGTCCCAAAATGCGACCGACAAAGTTGAACTGAAAATGGAAATGAAAAATGTTGAAAAGATATAAATTAGAAGGGGGCGAAATTAGAGGAAATCATTAACAAACATCAGCATACGACGACGATCTAATTAACTGACTGACAAACTTCATATAAAATTCAGTTTTTTTCTGATTTTTTGGCAAATTTAAAACGCATTAAATTAGCTCGTGACTCAGGATGCATAAATGCCAGGCCGGATAGATTCGTTCAAAGTCGAAGTTATTAAAGCGTATGACGCGCTCTGGTCAGATTCGGTTCGTTGAAGGCTGCTGGAGTCACCCACAACAATGGGCCAAGCGTAGAGTAATATGACCCGCGGCGACACGCCTGAATTTGGCACGATAAACCAATCAGCCAGATAGACATATACATACATATATATATATATATATATATAAATCTTTATGCATTATGGCCAAATGCAGTCAGTCGGTTCAGTTAGCAAGTTCAGTCAGAGGGCACTCAGAAAAATGTAAGCAAAAAAAAGGCTTAAAATCTGGAAAAGCTTAGAAGGGTTTACCTCATACTTTTGCCTTAAGAGAAACTCAGTTACTTCTATATCATAAGCCTTAAAAAACAAAAAATTCCCCTTTCTATCAACCATATTTTTCTCTCACTGCATCTCTGTCGGCGACATTTAAAAGAATTTTCCTTAAACTATTAGCGGAGCGTGCAAAAATCTTTTGACGCGCTTGTCGATGATGATGGACGTTGTTGCCTGACATGTTGTTGGCCAACTAACCAAGCAGCCAACAAGCCAACTTACCAAATCAGCAATGTGGTGACCCCAACCATTGTGGCGCCCAATTATCATATACTTTGGTTAGATTGCAACAACATGCCTGCAGGTTTGGTCGATAAATTAGATTTATTGGCCAGATCATAAACATTTTCGTTTTGAGTTATTGTAAATGGCTGGCTAAACTAGTTCTGATCTCAGCCTCAGGGTAGGCAGGAAAACCCACCCACCCACATATATCCAGAGACCCATGGCGAGATTGGCGATGATGTGATGGGATGTGAGATATGGGGATGTTAAGTGCACAGCGATGCGATCATCGACAGCAGACAGCCGGCGGCAGCAGTTAGCCAAAGCAAAAGCCACAAAAAGCCACAGCTACAGCTACAGCCACAGCCACAGCAGCTGTTGTCAGTCAGTTTCCAATGTATCTGTATCTGAAAGCCTGCATCTGCAACTGAAACTGAAACTGCAATTGCAACTGCCACTGCCAGTGCTACTGAGATCGAATCAATTGAAAATTGCCGCGAAGAATGCAGTTAATGCCTAATGGCTCCGGCAATTTTAATTAAATTTTGCGAAAAACCATTTAACCTCCATTCAAGCAAAACTATTTTTCGAGAAAGTAGCTAAAACTGGAAAACTGTAAGACCAAAATCTTATTGCAAACGCACAAAATTGAATTGAAAGACAAAACATTTGCATTGCTTATCGTTCTGATATCAATTGCTTAATTAAAAATCCCTGGCTTGAGCTCAATGTTTGCACAAGTGATCTCCTCCATTTGCCTTCACCATTCAACGGAAATTAAAACCCATTTTCCGAACCCCTTCCTCTTGCTCCCCACCCTCTCTTCGTTGCAACACTTGAAAACGACGCGTTGCGCGTTCTACAAATATTGAATGGAAACCCAAACAAATACGCGAGTGGCCAAATAAATTATAAATGATTGCGCTTTAAGGGTTTCCCCACTCTTGTTTTCTCTTCTCTCTTAACAGTTTCCACAAAGAAAACTCATAAGAGTGGCCATAAAGATTAAGATTATAGCACTCGAGATTAATGGCGGGAGAGCTAAGAGCTTTAAGCCATAATCATTTTGTTGATTATTAATTAAAAAGTAAGTTTTATTGGCCAATAAGTAGCTTTTTTATGTCAACAAAAATTATGATTATGATTTAATTTAATATTAAATTTCAGCTCAAAAGGTCAAAGTATTTTCTTGCCTTGCAAAATGCATAATTTATGCGGGAGAACCGTTGAGTATTTTTAGATTTCTAAGGTAGCATAATGGAACCCTTTGCCGCCATTGTCCGATGGTTGTTCCCTACAGCTCAACAATTACGCGACCTCAAGTGGCACGCGTGCCTTGCCAAGACATCACGCATAAGCTGCACTTCAAGAAATTAGTAAAAGGGAGAACTTTTTTGAACTTTAAAACTTATGAAAATGTTTCCCTTTAGAGAATAATAAGTAACTAAACTCCTCTTAGGGGAAATAACATTAACTTAAGGTTTCTAAAAGGAAACTCTTTCGAGCTTAGTGCTTCTCAAACTGTATGTATTGACCTTTTGCCTCTGAGCACTTCGAGTACTTAAAATTTCTGTTGTAAACAGACAAAAGACAGATGCGAACGGGAGTCAAGTGGAGTGGAGCGTACAAATAATGTTGTATAGTGTAAACATATATATATACTATATATATAGAGAGAGAGAGAGAGATCTCAGTGCGGAGGCTGCTTCTGCTGCTGCTTTATTTTACAGATTGTGAGCTCAGATAGGGGGCAGCGATGGCTACGGAGGCGGCACAAGGAAAATATTTTATATTTATACAATTCGTACAATAATTTTCAATACGGGCAAAAGGTACACTCGTAAGCAAACAATTGATAAGCGAATTGCGACGTACAAACAGACACACACAAAAGGGCAACGAAATTACTGAAAAGGAAAGTACAAACCCACACACACAGGTTATGATAAGAAAAACCATTTTCCATGACAACAGACTAACCAATTGTGTGGAAAACTTTTCATATGAAAACCGCACAAAGAAAATATTTGGTATGCTTTTCATTAGAAGCAGAACATTATATTTTTATAGTGTTCCGATTTTAATCGCAAACGCCTGCCTCCGCTGACTCAGTCAGTCTTCAAGCTTTTCATTTTAGCCGCTTGGCAGTAGTAAATTGGAAACGGAAAATGTACAAGCAACCAAGGCAGAGGTCGGCATAGATCAAATAGATTAGTCGATTACTAATATGCATATATATATATATATAGTATAGCATCGCATTGAGAGACACTTTAGCACACATAATTACGCTACACAAAAAGCTCGTCTATTACACAGAAAAATAAATCAAGCTTTGACATGACAAACAACAGCAGCAAATTTAACTTCAAAATAATGCTTGCCACAAATTGTTGTTGCTGCTTTTTTTTTCTATTTTTGCTGGCACTCTGGCGGGGCTGTACCTATTAAATTACCGAACAACCCCAAAATGTACGTAAAAATTGCACGTAATTAGCATTTCAATGTTTATGACTAATTTGCTGCAGTTTGTAGATTAATTGGCTTTTGTGTTAACGGCTTAGACAATAAACAACCAGCGGAACAGCAAAGCATAAGGTGATTTGGTTAGACAACAATGTCTGAGATGGGTTATAATTTGGCTTAAATATGGCCGCGATTTTCTCAAAATGATCGATATGTCTCTCTCTCTAATAGCCAAACGCATGACCTTAACACAAATCGAATGTCAAATATGGGCTGTAGTTGTAGTTTGTGTGGGGGTGTGACCGCAGCATTAATCAGCGGAAAGGGTATTTAATCTACTCAATGGTATCGATTAACAATTGATTAATTAATGAATAAACAGAGATCGTTGAAAAGTGGTAATCTAATGCATAATTACCTTTAGTCTAAAGTCTTTTTAACAATTTAATTTGAACTTTTTGGTTTGTTTTTCCATTTCGATTTAAGAAAACAAACATTTAAGCTAGCTATATATCCTATGCTCTCATCAGTTATCTATAGAACCCTCTAACGCTGCCTCATCTTGAAAATATTTCCCCCTTCCAAACGCATCTGATTGTCCCTCTTCCATATGTTTAAATTTAAGCATCAGAAAATGAGTTTGCAAAAAAACAAATAGAAGAAAAAATGTCAAACATAATTTGAGTTTCTGTTCGAAGCAAAAATCACTCAGAAGCTGGCCAGGCTCAGTGGGTCAACATGTCGCACGTAGCATGACGCGCCACGGGGCGTATGAGCAATGAGCGTTGACAGCGAACAGCAAACAGCGAGGAGAAGATAGATTTAATGGTAAAAGGCGGTCCATAGAGAGCATACAGCGTTAATAGTTTGCCGTAATTAATTGTAAACTGTTTTAATGCCTCAACGGCTGCGCCGCTGCTGACTTTAATTAAGTTGCATTTATGTTTTGGACACGTCCAAAGAAACAAGATTCAGATAGATATATGAGTATATATACATTGGAGTATATATCTCCGGCTGCCATCTCTTCTGCATTTGGAAAGAGATTGACAAATTGTTGACCATTTACATGGCATACTGTCGGGCCAACTGACAAATCTCTATTTACATTGTTGAATGCGTTATAAATTATTAACTGCTATTATTTGCGACTGGCAGTGTCGCTGAGCGCGCTAATGCCATGAAATTTATGCCCCATGACGGGGCGCAAGCACACACATAGGTTTTGCCCAGAACTTGTTGCACTTCCAAACGACATTTGTCTTGCTTAAACATAATATTTTTTATGTTTGTTTCTGCCAACTGTAGGAAAATGTCAAAATTTTCCTAGGTGAATATTTAGTTTTGCTTTTCGAAATATGATTGCAATTAAATGAGATGATTTATGAGGAGAACAGCACTCGAGACGCCCGCACAAAACCATTTGAAAATAAGACAGATTGGAACAACACCTGAAATATTGGAAAACCAAGCGGAAAAATCTCAGACCCTCGGGTCGTAAATCTTGGCTAGAAAACTGTGCCAGTTTGGCATCAATTTGGAAAATAACATAGAAAACTCACATGAAACAACATCATCAAAAGTTTTGAGTTTGTTAGTCGGCATTTCGTTCATTAAAATTTTCTATGTTTTTGTACAAATTTATAGCCCGAACTCATTCATATTCATTTCATTTCAGTCTAGCCCTAATAAAGTTCAATTTTATGTTAATGCTGGACTGTCTAATTTCGTGTTATCTTTTCGCTTGGCCAAACTCTCTGGTGATTCAGAATATGTATTTGCTTTATGCAACACGGCGAGGGGTAATTAATTGAATGCCACATGTGAGAAATGTTTCACTTTGGCTTCATTAGTTTTAACGATGCTTAAGAAGAGAGACAAAAGGTTATAGAACCTTTGTAAGTGGTGATGACGAGGCAGGTTCTAAGACAGCAGCTTAGGAAATAAATTAATCTAAATGGAAAAGAGGTTTAGCCTAGGGAATGTCGTTATTAAATGATGAACTTTAGGGAAATTAAATAAACTTTTAGCTAGAAGATGAATCTAAAGGGTTTTCATATACATTTAAAGCCTTTCAAAACTATCTTTCATGGATACCAACAACTTGACTAGAAGTCTACAGTAATTCTCGTATCTAAACTTCTTTTCATTGCAACTTTATTTTGTAATTAAAAGAACTACAAAAATCGCTTAAATAATCATTAAATTCCGCATCATTTTGATTGGGTCATCGCCCCACCCCAAGCACCCTGAGCTGGCGCCATTTGGCAAAGAAAAGTATTTGAACAGCTGCCGAGCAGAAGCCGCCATCGAACGGAGTGAGAACTGAAAGGCTTTCGAGTCTAATTAATGCTATTTAAATTTATGCATTTATCTGGATCACAAGCAAAAAACAGAAATAAAAAAATGGAAAAATTAAAAAAACGAAGCGAAAAAAAGAAAACATAAACATCAAGAGCAAAGTGTGTCATGCAGTAAAATAAATTTCCTCAGTTCCGCCACTGCGACTGCTGTCAGGCCATAAATAAATAAGAAAAAAAAAAAAACGAAACTACGCCCAAACAATTTCCAAATTAACAAAACTAAAGAAAAACAAAAGAAAAAAATATATAGATGTCTGAAGAGAGGGGAGTTATGTGTGTGGGAAGGAGAAGCAGGGAGAAGGGGGAGGAAACATTTTAAATTGCATAAAATTAAATCAAATTCTAATGTGGCAGGGCTTGGCCTGAGTGACTTGCCACGACGCCTACAATGGACGACAAATGAAACGAATGAACGCCGTCAAACGACTTCCTAAAACGCTTCAATGATTTTGTCTAACCCATTTTTATACTCATATATATCTCTGTCTCTATATATATATATCTATAGCTTGATCTGTATCTGTATCTGAGACGCAAGCTTTATAGGGAAAAATCAAGGGAGCTTTGCATCTCTGCTGAGGCGTTTTACTGTCTTCTTTCTGCCAAGCCAAGACAACTTAACAGATGACTGACTCTATAGGCAACGTCGGAGAAGATACACCTCTAGGCTCATTGGCTGGGGCGCTGGCACACCTTTAAGCCATTTCCGGTGTAGCCCAGTTGCTCACTGAACGCGTTGTCAATTCTAATTGGCGGAAGTCGCGGCGTGTGCTCTTCTCTCTCAAATCCATAAATTAGATCATCGTTATCATGATCATGATAGTGATTATTATGTTAGATAGACTTACATCTGGATGTTCGCGTACTGGCACATAAACCTTCTCGTTCATCGTCACCACCGATCCCTCGGGCTCGGGCAGAGTCAGGGGCTCCTTCTTGACCCCATTGATCTGGAACAGGGAGGCGCGTACGCGTGCAATTTCTAAAAAGATTAAGATGAGAGATAAGATGGTATTAATATTAGTTTAATTTGTGTTTAAATATAGAACTAAATGCATTGAGAAATTGTTTTGAGGGGTATTTGATTAGGTTTTTGATTGGCAAATCTAATAAACTGCTAACAAGCTGATTAATAACCAAATCTAACAGATTTTCAATCTTTAAAAGTATAAATATATTTCCTAACATTTTTATATTAACAATAGGTATTCCCCATAGGAGTTCGTTCAAACTCTCTCTTGCTTTTCTAACAGAATTTTCTACATCATTTTGTCCCTTCTTCCTTCTTCTTAACCTATTTCCACATCCCCTAACAAACTCTCCCCTAACTCTGTGACGTAATTAAACGCATCGTTACTAATCATTATGGAATCTACTTTTGCAATAGCCTCTATTTATTACCAAGCTTAATAATAAGCTCAGATGAAAGGCAAACAAACAAAAGCGTTGATAATTTTAATTGCCGACTCTTCTCGCTCCTACTATGAGTGCTGTTGCTGTTGCTCAATTTGTCATTTTAGCTAAGTGCTTGTATTAAATTACGTTTAATTTGCCGCTAGGGTGGAAAACCTACTTAATTAGCATCAATATAATCGACGTGTGAATGTATTTACTTAGCTAGAAGTCATCTTATTTATTAGGTTAACCCATGAAATCATTTGGTTTATATTTAAACAAATTATGCCATAATTTGACTAGTCATAGGTGAAATGATGATCAATATCACCCCTCTCAAACCCTTTATTATGAGGTCATATATGCCACGCCCCTTTCCTATTCACACTTGTAGTGGGGCATGTATTTTGCAGCCCCCCAACTGTGTCAGTTGACAGGGGCTCTCGAATTGATATGATCAACATTTTGTGTTCTCCCGCTGTTGCTGCTGTTGCTGCTGCTGCTGTTTAGTTTTTGCATAAGCTCAATTGCATTGTTTGTCTTTGGCATGTGCTTTGACAATTTGTCACTAAAAGTGGGTAATTGTGTGTGTGTTGGGAGTGGGGGGAGGGTAAGGTGACAGCATCAGATGTCACAGAAATTATTTAAGAATATGCCACTAAATGACATCAAATTAAATGCCTGACTTCTCTCACTAAATGTCAACATTTTGACATACGGTTATCTGATTTCATTGACAGTCTATGTATGTGAGTCTTGACATGAGAAAAGTCTTTAAAAATATATATCCCAAGTTAAATATAAAAATAAATTTTATTTATATGTCAAGCCTTAGAAAGTTTTGTTCTAGAATTCTAAAATTAAACTATTTGAAGACACATTTAAGCTTATTCTTTCTTATATTAAAATTCTACGAAAACCCTGACTGAGTTTCTTGACCTGTTGACTATAAAAATCTGCACACCGAATAACATTTTGTTTGGCCAAATTTAAATTAATTATATTTGATATTTTTATCTAGTAGCTGGCTTATTTTCTTATTTATTTCCCCGTAGCTTTCACTCTGTGCTGTGAGTCTGCCACATAAATAAAATCTGAGGCTAACAAAGAAGACGAAATAAGAAGAAATTGCACAAAATTTAAATTTACTTTTTCCAAGAGGAAGACCAGTGCGAAAAAAAATGAAAAGAAAAAGCCAGTCCAGAGTTCATTGCGGGCCAAAGAACCCATAAAGAAAATGCTTAAAAACCAAAGAGAGAAAGAGAGATGGACGAGGAAAGAAGATGAATCGGTGGAACCGACACAATTGCTCTAAAACACTTGACTCGATTATTGATTGAGATGGAGATGAGATTTTCCCCTCGACCATAATTAAGAGCAGCTCGAGAAAGACTTTTCATTTGTTTGACCATTTTTCTTTTTGGTTTTGTGTAATTTATTGCGACACGCAAGTAGAGCATTCCATCGGTGGCATCATCATCATCATCATCATCAGTATCCACATCATCGTTTGAATGAGTTCTAAGCCATAAGCCCATGGCATAGTATTATTGGCATAAACGCAATCATGACAGCTGTCAATTTTAATCGAGCGAATGTCAATCCGCATCCAACATCTATTCAATCTGCAACGTGACCGATGTGTGGCAGTGGCACGAAGATTGTGCAGCCAGATTATATGAATAAGCCGCGCCAAATTGGTGTAAAATTGCATTTGCATACGAGCCGAACCGATGACGGAGTCACTGACTGAATCACTTACTATACTTCTGGGGCCAACTCAGATAGATGGCTGGATTGATAGCGGCATTTAGATAAATTACAATAATCAACAGTATCTCCCCCTTAACCCTAGCCATATGCGCAGGCGGCTTAATTAATAGCAGCGCTTAGTCAGCGACTATTATAGTCTATAATTAAAGTACTGGCTCAAAGATCACCACCTGTTTTTGCCACAACTGACCATTTTAGGGCATAGCTGGCTTTCGTTATATATATAGAGGAGAGAGTGGGCGGTACGGACGTGGCTAACCAGAGCAGTGCCACAATCCAATCTAATAATTATCAATGAAAGATCTTTTTTTTTCCTTATTTTTTATTCATTAACAAGTCAAAGTCGTTTGTGCTTTTAAGGCAATCTCCGTTTCATAATTTACATATGGCAGAGAGACCGCGCTGATCGCGCTTATGACTCTATCTCTTGGCCAACTCACTGGCTGGACTCTATATATGGCTAGGGACGGTGCTACCAAATTTGGCACCCCGAAGTCGAGGTGCTTGCGTGTGTGCGGTTCAAGTATTATTATTATCATTTTCGTATAATTTCTTGTTCCCCCCCTCTCAGCGTTAGCTCTTTTTATAGCCAGCCCCCACACACCAAAAAAAAAAAAGCACTTTTGGCGAACCTTAACTATGGAGTGTTATTAGTCAAGCAACTAAGAATAAAAATGGGTAAAGCTCAAGGTTGGGCGTGGATTAGAAGGATGGACTTGTCTTGATTTCTAACATGACATCATCATCATCATCAGCAGCAGAGAGATCTAGAGATTCTAGAGATTCTTTAGAGATTTTTGCCCTTCTAGAAAAAGGTGGGCGGACATAACATTTTCCGACTTGCTTGGCTGCAGAATTTTGCAACATTTCTGTTTTAAATTTAGCAAACTGCACTTGATGATGAAGAACAAGAAACAAGAAAACAAGAAACACAAAATATACAAAATACAAAACAAGAAACACGAAACACGAAAGCAACTGAGAACGAATGACAGCCAGTCGAGCGTCAATAAATTGTCAAATTTTATGCACCACGATTTTTTTGGCAAGGGTTCTTTATGCCCGCCAGCAAGTAGGGCATAAAATGTGTACATAGTACCAGGAATATTAATGTGGAATCAGATTATATATATAAAAATATGTATACATTCGTTTATATTTAAATGTATTTATGGAACATCGTAAAAGTTGCCAAAGCTTTTATGGCTTAAATGGTTTTATAATATGAACATTTTTCGGAGATCTTTTAAAAGTGGTATTAGCTTGGTTAGCTAGCAAAATTAATACTTTAAGGTAACAAGTAGATCTATCTAAAGGTATAGAAGTTATCAAAACTTTTTACTAGCCATTAGAAAGCTCTCTAATTTAAACTCTCTACCCAAAACAGCATAATTCCCATTAACAAGAATCTTACCTCCATACCATTGATCAGTTTTCCATTAGCAAAAAAACCTCGCTCCCACCAAATACAGCCAAGAGGATATAACTTATCGAATCCTAAACTTGTCAATCTAATAAGATATGCCAGACAGCTGGCGCAGACACCTCTAAACCAAATTAAAGCCGCGATCAGCTCACCAGCTTAGCAGCGGCTCGCTGATTGATTGTTTTAAGCCGAGAGAACAATTTGCATTGGATCACGACTTCAGGTGGGAAATGTTAAGGTGGGGATATATATCTATCTGCTATATACTATATATATAGACTGACTGAGTGCGACACATATCTGGCGGCTAATTTATGAATGCAAAACCATTCATACCACACGAATTAGATGACTGCCAGCTGATGAGCGTGTGGGCGTTTGTCTTTTCTTTGTTTTTTTTTTGTTTTTTTATACTTTTTAGCCAAGAAAACAATGTCAACTGCGATCGTTTTGGCCTCCGTTGATCTCTGTATGTGTGTGGGCTTTTAAGAGACTTAACAAATTGTCACCAGAAATGGCCGGAACGCTTAAGGTTCACAGAGCGATTGGGCGGCCTGCAATTAAGCCAGGTCCCGCATATTTGGCAAGCGCCAAAATGTATTTGATTTTAATGTTTTTTATTTGCGCTTTTTTTTCGTCATGAACTCCATTGGCCTTGGGCGCATTTGCAATTTCGCATTGTACTCGCATTTAAGCCAAAACGAAGCAAAAAAAATAACATTAAATAAATAAAATGTTTATTGTGCGTTCAAGTAATTTCATTGCTCGGTTTTGGTGGATTTTTGCATATTTTGTGCATATTCTTTCAGTTTGTGGTTTCGCACAAGGCATTGGCTTTCGATTTTTAGAATAATAAGTCAGACAAGTTGTTAGAATTTAAATAAATTAGATTTAAATGCGATATTTTAAAAGATTTAACTTGATTTTCTGTTAATTATCTTGACATAAACTCCTTGAATAAATATCAAAAAAGTCTTAGCACTTAAACCATTTAATATCTAAATCAATTTGTTAAGCAAACAATCCTTGAACCTATTACTTATAGCCCGCACTGTACTGCAAACGTTCCGCATCAAGGCAAAAACAAACATTTGTTAATCTCGCCTCTCTTTCTGAGTTTTAATATATTTTCAGCATTTTAATTAATGACTCTCTATAGACCAGCCAACAGCAATGACAGTTTTTTTTTTATGCATTTTTATTAATAAATTTGTAGCATCATAAAGCTGTCACTGGCAACTTGGTTCACACGCTCAAAAGTATGGAATCTCAATCTATTATATATTCTATAAAATATATCTTCTGGCACAACATTAATATATCAATAATGTTTAATCTGATTTTTCCCTCAAAACACATAAAGTTTTGTTAACATGATTTTATAAGTT